GCGACGAATTACCTTACAAATAACCTATACGTTGACCTACTGATGATTGCTCCTCACCAGCCGGAAAATCTTTAAGCATCCAACTTCATATATTTATTTAGAGATCCGGCTTTCAATGGCTTTGTCGTCATTACCATTCTCGTTGTGTGTGACAAAAGTCGGACTCCTGCCAAACGGAAACATACAAAACGATATCATTAAAGAGACTGTTAGGTATTTGCATTCAGTAAAAGAAAACATTCAGGTAAAGATTCAGTTAACTCAATGCTGATTAATTTATGAGACAAAAATCAGTAATAATAGTTTCATTCTCTGAATTAGAATAACTTCAAATGTATGTTTCTAGGTTGCGCATGAAGGGATCTGAAACGCCCTTTTTCTTATCTAGATTTAATATTCATTTGACGATTTGAAACGTACGTGCCCCACGAGTTCACAGGAGCACGTCCGATTCCGTCGAGCCGCTGTCAGCGCTGGTGCCGGCAACCGCCTCCCTCACTGTCAGGCCGCGCGGCACCGCCCCGCGCTGTCCGTCTCTCTTATTTATGGCGCGCGCCGATAGGCCGCATGGGGATTTCATTACGAGGCTTGCTCGACGATTGTTCCGGTCGTGTCGCGACACGACGGACGCCGCCGCCCCGCTCCACACCAGTCCACCCCGCTCTCTCTGTCCTACCCCATCACCCAGCTTCTCTCTGCATCGACACCGTCCTTACCCGCCCCCTCCGACCTGCCACACCTCGCACCGCCCCGTGCTGCCCCATTCCATCCCTCCCGCTCTGTCCTATCCCGTCCCTATCCGATCGTCCAGCCTCTCTCCGCATCAACACCGTCCCTACCCGCCCCCTTCATCCCACCACTCCCCGCTTCGTCCCGTGCTACCCCATTCCATTCCACCCTCTCGGTACAACCCCCTCTCCCCGTTCCGAGCCTTCCCGCCCAGCCTCTCTCGGCCTCAACACCGTCCTCGACCACCCCTGCGTCCCTCCACTCCGCTCCGCTCCGTGCTGCCCCATTCCACCCCGCCCTCTCTGTACTACCACATCTCGCTCCGATCCTCCAGCGCCTCTCTGCCCCAACACTCTCCCTACCCGCCCCGCTCCGCTCCGCCCCGCCTGGTGCTTTCCCATTCCATCCCATCGTCTCTGTACTTCTCCATCCCGCTCCGATCCTCCAGTCTCTCTCCGCATCAACACCGCCCTCACCCGCCCCCTCCATCGCGCCACGCCACGCCCCTCTCCATCCCGCCCTTTTTGTACTACCCCTTCCCGCCGCCACGAGCTTCCAGCCTCTCTCCGCATCATCACCGTCCTCATCCGTCCCCTTAGTCCCGCCACGCCCCGTTCCAATCCATGCTGCCTCATTCTATCCCGCCCTCTCTGTACTACCACATCTCGCTCCGATCCTCCAGCGCCTCTCTGCCCCAACACTCTCCCTACCCGCCCCGCTCCGCTCCGCCCCGCCCGGTGCTTTCCCATTCCATCCCATCGTCTCTGTACTTCTCCATCCCGCTCCGATCCTCCAGTCTCTCTCCGCATCATCACCGTCCTCACCCGCCCCCTTAGTCCCGCCACGCCCCGTTCCAATCCATGCTGCCTCATTCCATCCCGCCCCTCTCTGTACCCCATTCCGCTCACAGCCTCCGCGCCGCCTCGCTCCTCTTCTCCTCTCCGGAAGCACCTAGCTGTCACATTCCTCCCTACCCCGACCCGCTCTCCCCGATTCGGCCCGATATGTTCCGTCCCTCCTCACCTCGTTGCGCGTCAGCCCACGCTGCCTGGCATCCCACACACAGACTCTCCCAGCCGCCGTTTCTCTCCGTCCAGCCCCGCACGCGTCATCCTCCCTTCCGGTCCCTCTCCTCGCCTCCCCGCCCTGCACAGTTTCACTGCACTCGCGAGTCCCCTTCGCTCCACCCTCTGCCTCACCCCGCGCTGTTTCACCTCACTCCATCTACTTTTGCGCTCCCACGCGCCACCTGCGTCGTCCCCGCCGTCCCTGCATAACGTTACACTGCACCCCGCAACGCCCGTGGCTGAATCTCAAACCCCGCACTGCAACATTCACGCATTTCTCTGCGTCTCATCCCTTGGCCTCCGCCCACCCGCGTTGATCCACCCGGCAGTGTGCAGTTTGACTCTGCTCCACTCCTCTTCTTCAGGTACCTTCGTATAGTTCCTTATCAATCTACCCCCGTCCTTTTCTTTCATCCACAACCCTCCTCACCCGTCTTGTCCCTTAGCTTCCTCCCGTTACGTCTGGTCTCGTCCCGCCTCTTCTCGCGCCGTTGCACCGTAACTCCTCCTCTCCATTCCCCGCCCATCCCTACCCATCCCCGCCCGTATCGGCACGCATGGCTGGTTGGGAATTTCCAGAAATAATAGATCCGGTGCGGAAGGCTGATGGGAGAGAGGCGGGGCCGCCCGGGCGGATGCTCGGGGGATTTGAATGGCGCGTCCAGGGGGCTTTGTGGTCACGGCCCCCGGCTGCGCCGCGCCGCGCCGCGCCGAGCGGTTCTTAAACAGTCCGCGCGCGCTCGCGCGCGATTCGGCGGCCGGGCGGGGGAGATAGGACGGTTTTCTGCTAATTGGGAGACGTTGATGGAGGGCTCTGCAGGGGGCAGTGATTGATTAGGGAAATTTAAGCGCATGTTCACAGCGTGAGAATGCAGAAGGAGCCGGAAGCAATAATTGAAATGTAGATTGAACGAGGAAGTAAATGCACGGGACGCAGTTTATCTGGGAAACGTAGGAGAGAGTGGGAATGGGACACGTAGATACTATCTAATTGGCAGCAATTAAATGACGAACTCACTAAATAAGGAAAAATAAAAATGGGTGAATCTGTCACCTACCACAAATTTGTCAATATATCCTCCTAATAGCTACATTAATGTGATTGTGAATAGATTTGAATATGATCTCATTATTAAATTTTTAAAGTTAGGTCCTATTAGTCACATAACTTTATACATTCCTAATTGAAAAGCGACTGTTCGCCTTGAACGTGTAGATGAATAGAAGTTCTGAGAGTATCACAGGTGCACATGCGTGGATAAAGTGGCCGCTAGGATTCTGATGGGGGTATGCAGCGGTATTTGTAGCCACGTCATCCAAGCGAATGGGATACTTAACCACGCTGCATACTGCTCTTGAATGCCCGAGGTTGAAGGGTTTGGGCTTATTGAAGGAAGTTGATGGAGAGATTTGGCCAGTATAGTGATTGATTAGGCACGTTTGTGCATGTTCTGATCGCATATTTATGCGGGCGGGTGTGAGAGTTATAGTTAAAGGAGACGAGAGTGTGAATGCGGCTGAATGTGACTCGTTGAATGATTAAAAAAATAAAAAATACAATTTCAAAAAGATAAATAGGCATTGTAGTAAAAACTCGAAGATAATGAAGTTAATATTTTCAAGCAATTTTATTTACATATTTATACAGCCAACTTCACATCAAATTGAAACACTCTTTAAAGAGAAAAGTAAATGAATTGCAGTTGGGATATAATTCATGCCAAACATGTCACAAAAGTTTCAGATATAAAACTTTAACTAACGTACAATTAAGTGAACTTTTGGATATTATATTTAAGAACAAATTTTCGAGGACTTTGATAATATGCTTACTTCGAAAATATGTTAAAAGAATTTTATTTCTTTGCGTTATAAATTCCGCGGTCGTAGCAGATATCTTGTAGGAATCCGTAATGTGAAAAAGGAAATAATCGTTCACAAAAATGTTGTTACATGTTACAATAATTTTGTTAATTATTACATTCCCAGAGTAAACTTTCGCAAAAATGATTTTCCCACCTTCAGTGAGTCTCTTGCAAGGAGAAGAAAAATTGAAAATGAACATGAAGGAGGAAAAAAAATACAGTAAAATTGTGTGAAAAAATAAAAAATAAAATAAATAAATAAAATTGAATCGTTGCACAATTGACAACTTAAAACTTGTTATATAACTTCTTAAAATATAGTGGATAATTTGTTACCTACGAGCCTTCGAACCACAAATGATCTAAGTTTTATCCTATTCTTCTAATATCGAACCAAACCATTTGGATCCGCGAATAATTATTGAAAGACATACCAAGAAACACACTGATTAAACGGATTAACGGGAAACATACAGTAATTGAAGGTACCAAAGTGGTTGAACACGCAGTATGGGCCGGTCTCAGCCTCCGAGGAGAGTAGTGAGATATTTCATAAGAAGAAAGAGATAATGTACACATACGCTCACACTACAAATAATAAATTTCATTGAAAGAATTATTTTATTCGTGTGAAGCAAGACAAAACGCAACAAGATAAATATTAGACACAAAAATTAAGGGCGTGTCAAGTTCGTTTCCGAGTCCAATCGACACACTCATGTCGTCTAACCTTTCCTCTTGCCTCCAGTTGCCAAATGTCAGCGTACGGAAATACGCGTTCGTGATCTCGGGTGGTACCTCTGCAGAGGAGAAACGGCCCGCCTCCGTAAATTGTCTTCCCTCTAACAGATGGGAGGGCTTCCTTCGCTCGGGAGGCAGTCGAGAGCTGTCACCGCTTTCGCCGCGTGTGGCCAGGAACGTCATGACTCTGGCCTCCGGAGGGCTGAGATGGAAATAGAACTAAGCGCGTCGCACAGTGGGTCCAAACGCCCTTGAAAATAAATGGATCAATCATTCAATTCAGTACCGCTTTTATTTTACGTAACGAGGATACGGCCATCAGATTTCCTCTCCCGCCAGACTACGCAAACTCCACCACGCTCTTTTCACCGCGTAGAAGAGAAAAAGGTATCATTCGGGCGACGAAACTAGCGATTTGAGTTTTACCCAAATGCTTCTGTTAAACTTGAGAATGTGTTACATGCAGTAAATCTACAAGATGGAAGGACCCAATTTATTTCCCTTCAGAAGGAATTTTTAAAAGGCACTTTAAAAAAACGCGGTATCCATCAGGTTTGAACCCATGAACTTGAGTATAACAGTCCCATATGCTAAGTACCTAAGCTGCATTATTGATGCCGCAAAGTTATTTATGCTCTCTAAAATATCTTCGCCATTTAAATATAATACAAATAATGTCTAATACAGTACGTACACAATAAATTTAAGCAAAGTGTAAAATATTATATGTTAAGACATTATTACCATCAACATCACGTTGAAAGGGTGGATCTTTCAAATGGTTCCAACTTGCTTCTTGAGAATTTCCAAGTAACACTTTTCTGCCTTCCGTTTCGCAACTAATCTTTCATGAGCAATCGTCAGTCACGCAGATAAATGCTGCCGTTTCGGTTCTGGATTCTAGCACCTTTCTGAAATATTCAATTCAGTTACTGAAGTTGAGTCAAATAATGTCTAGCACACTGTGAGATTTACGTTTTGATGATTTTTATTATTAGTACTTTTTAAATAATACGCATCACAATAGCTCATCAAAGAAATAAAATTTGCAAATTTTTGGAATTGGCCTTGTTTGCTAATCTCATGTTACATTCCACAAAATTTTGCAAAAAGTGTTCAATGTTTTTCTTAAACATTTTGATGCAATATTCCCATTTAATGTATAGAATAACATTTTATTTTAAAATGTTCAATGTCTGCGAATTATATGCGCGTTTTCGTTCATACAAGAAAGAAGGGAAATTATTTACATTCAATGATTTCATTTTATTACAATCTTATTTTAAAAAATCTTTTCTTAGGTACGACATACATATTTAACAAAAACGTGATGTGTCGCAGCATGAGATTTCTCTGCGTACTTTTCCCTTCTTTTCGAGTCAGTGTAAGGGAACGTGGTGGTGGGGGCTGCAATGGCAGCGTACTCTGGAAGTGGCGGTGGCGGTGGCGGCAGGGTTGGAGGCAGTGGTGGAGACGACGGAAATGGTGGCGGTAGAGGGGGCAATGGAGGCGGCTGTGGAGGCGGCGGTGGAGGTGGCGGTAGAGGCGGCGGTGGCGGCAGGGTTGGAGGCAGCGGTGGAGGCAGCGGTAGAGGTGGCAATGGAGGCTGCAGTGGAGGCAGGGTTGTTGGCGACGGTGAAGGCGGCAGTGGAGGCGGGGGTGGACGCGGGGGTGTTGGCGACGGGCGAGGTGGCGGTGGAGGTGGCGGTGGAGGAAGCGGTGAAGGCGGCGGTGGAAGCGGTG